CATCTTAGTAACAGAAACCCAATGGATGCACAACCTACAGGCATTCCTTCATTCCAGCGCAGTGTCTGCCCCAGCGGGGAATCCGCAGCCTGCCCCGTCCACACCCACGGAGGCTCATCCGAAGGCACACAGCGCCTCCTTCTGGGCTTGCGGAGCCCCGAGGCCGAGTCCTCAGAGACCCCAGGAGACGGGCCGCAGCCATGGGTGGCGAGATGATGAGATGCTCATGGAAAGCAGGCCCCGGGCGGGCAGCCACCTCTGCGTGCCCCACTTAGAACTGAAGGCTGGAGACCTCCCCAGACCCTGACCCTGCAGTGGGACCCTGGCTCCCCCCTCCCTGGGCATCCCTGGAGGACCACTGGCACCAAGGGTTAACCTGCAGCCTTCCACCTCCCTCCTCTGCCTCTGGTCCGCTAACCTGTTGCCATGGAAACAGGCTAAAAATAAAATGGGCTTCCAGAGCCCAGCCCCATGCACAGGAGTCAAAACAAACTAATTAAAGCAGCCGGGCGAAAATGTGAAGATAATTACACCCTCACTCAGGAGCCAGTCGTGGCATGGAACCCCTCAGCAGGCCATCCCGAGCTGGGCCCTGGGCCCCTCCCTGGCACGCAGGCTGCCTCCCACCACTCAGCCCCCACGGCCCCGAGCCCTGCGGCAGGAGAGCTCACCCTGCTTAGGCCTGAGATCGGGGAGCAGCACACCCCCACTACGACGGCCCCACCCCTCATACATTCATTGTGCCGTTTCGTGCTGGGACTTGTGCCCAATCTGGGGTGGGCACGCAGAAGGCAGGGTGAACTGAAGTCTGAGGTGTTTTTCCATATCCTCCCTGCACAGCTCTAGGGCTGCCTCTGTCCCTAAGACTTTTGCTAAAAGGCCTCAAGATAGTTCCTTTGTGTCTCGGGCTGCTGCCTCTCACTGAAGGCTCAGAGTGTGCGAAGGGCCCTGTTTTCTGGTGGATGTCCCAGCATCCTCTCTGGCCCAGAGTGTGCGAAGGGCCCTGTTTTCTGGTGGATGTCCCCCCATCCTCTCTGGCCCAGAGTGTGAGAAGGGCCCTGTTTTCTGGTCGATGTCCCCCCATCCTCTCTGGCCCGGGAGTATGAGACGGGCCCCGTCTTCTGGTGGATGTCCCAGCATCCTCTCTGGCCCAGAGCGTGAGACGGGCCCTGTTTTCTGGTGGATGTCCCCCCATCCTCTCTGGCCCAGAGTGTGAGAAGGGCCCCGTCTTCTGGTGGATGTCCCCCCATCCTCTCTGGCCCAGAGTGTGAGAAGGGCCCTGTCTTCTGGTGGATGTCCCCCCATCCTCCCTGGCCTGGGAGCATGAGAAGGGCCCTGTCTTCTGATGGATGTCCCAGCATCCTCTCTGGCCCAGAGTGTGAGAAGGGCCCTCTTTTCTGGTGGATGTCCCAGCATCCTCCCTGGCCCGGGAGCATGAGAAGGGCCCCGTCTTCTGGTGGATGTCCCAGCATCCTCTCTGGCCCAGAGTGTGAGAAGGGCCCTGTTTTCTGGTGGATGTCCCCCCATCCTCTCTGGCCCGGGAGCGTGAGAAGGGCCCCGTCTTCTGATGGATGTCCCCCCATCCTCCCTGGCCCGGGAGCATGAGAAGGGCCCCGTCTTCTGGTGGATGTCCCCCCATCCTCTCTGGCCCGGGAGCGTGAGAAGGGCCCCGTCTTCTGGTGGATGTCCCAGCATCCTCTCTGGCCCGGGAGCGTGAGACGGGCCCCGTCTTCTGGTGGATGTCCCAGCATCCTCCCTGGCCCGGGAGCATGAGAAGGGCCCCGTCTTCTGGTGGATGTCCCAGCATCCTCTCTGGCCCGGGAGCGTGAGAAGGGCCCCGTCCTCAGGTGACGTGGATGTTGGGTCAAGCCCATCCCACCACGGACCCTTTGTCCCACAGGACCATCAAGGTGGAGGTGTACGACTGGGATCGAGATGGCAGGTAAGCAGGCCGAAGGGCACAGGGGACAAGGGTGGGCAGCCACAGGGGAGGATGGGCCCCGCCCTCACGTGGGACTGAGGCCTGGGTTTTCCTGAGGGCCATCCCCTGCCCCGTGACGGTCCCAGCCCGGCTCCCCGGGCACGGGAGGACCTCGGTCCGCGGGGCACGGTGCAAAGGACACGAGAGGCCTCTTTTCCTCAGACAGCTGCCGGCAGGTGCCTAACACCTCCCCCAGGGGGGAGGCCTTGGGGTTTCTGAAACGTGCCTGTCGTGAGGTCTAGAGAGAGTGATGCCCGGAGCCCTCGGGACTCATCCTCTGTGAGCTCAGCCTTGGGGGGGGACCGAGGCGCGGAGGAGGAGCTCGGCAGTGGAAGGGAAGCTGGCCGCACAGGAAGGGACTGAGCAGCGAGGCGGTGCCTGAGGAGGGCCCAGCCTGGCCAGTGGAGGGTGGTTCCCTCCCCTTCTCTGTCCTCAAGGAGCAGGGTCGCTGGGAAGTCAGACAGGACACGAAGGCTTCCGTCCAGAACCCTCTCCGGCTCCTCCTTATCTATTGAGCCAAATCCAGCCCCCCCCCCCCCCGACCTTTGTGGCCTCTCCATTCTCAGGCAGTAGCAGGGGCAGAGAGGGGCTCTACACCCCGGGGCTCCCCTGGTCCTCCCAAGTCTGTGGTGTGGACAGGGGCGTGGCACAGGGCTGTGCAAACGCAGCGCTAAGTCAGGCCCAAGCCTCTTCCCAGGAGCTTACCTTCCCCTGAGACCTTCCTGTAGAGCCGGCCAGAGCCTGCACCGCCCAGGGAGCTCCCGTGGCCCACGCCCGTCCTCTTTAACCACATCACAGGCCGGTCGGCTTCCTATTTGCTCCCATGATTTATCTCATCTTACCCGGGAGTTCTCCCTACTTCTCTTTTACTGAGAAAGCAGGGGACAGCCACCAGATGCCACTGGTCCCACCACCAAGGAGCTCACAGTCTGCACGGGGAGAGCTGTGAATCTGTAGGGGAAATACGGTGTGTGCTCACGGCGGGCAGGGCACCTCCCGGCATCAGTCTCCTGCAGGCAGCCCAGGCCGGCGCGTGAAGGTCAAAGGCGGCCAGCCGCAGCGGGGGTCGCAGTTCCGCTTTGTACGAGGTTTTGCTGCACTTAATATAAACGCCCACACAGGGCCCCCGAAGGTGCAGACACTGCAGAAAACACCACCAGGGCCTCCACGGACAGAGGCCAAGTGTTATTGGAGAAGTGACAAAGCTACAGAAAACTGGAGAAGAGCTTAATGAACACTTTTAAGCCTATCACCTGAATCTAACAAGCGTGACACATTGCCATGTTTGCTTTATTTGTGTTTTGTTGATGTAATCTAAATTCTAGACATCACGGCATTTTTATCTCTAAATATCTCATTGGGAATGTCTAAAAAAATGAGGGCATTTCCTATGTAACTATGAATGCCATTATCACACCTGACACTTGAACAGTGAGTCTTGAGTACCTTCTAATATTCATTTCGTATTCACATTTCCCTAGTTGTCACCCAAACACCGTTTGTTGCTGGTTTGTTCAAACAGGAATCCAAGTAGAAATGGGTCCCATCCTCTGGGGCCCTGCCCTCTGCTCCTTGACCGTTGGGTGTTTGCTCCGTGGGTGACACTGGACTCCTCCCCAGGGACCCAGCCTCCCAGCTGGCGTGCGCCCTGGAGAAGAGGCCTGGGCGGGATGGAGAGCCAGGGGGCACGCAAGAGGTGGGGTGGGCACAGGTCTCAGCAGAGCCTTCCTTTGCAGCCACGACTTCATCGGGGAGTTCACCACCAGCTACCGGGAGCTGGCCCGCGGGCAGAGCCAGTTCAACATCTACGAGGTGAGGCGGACGCCCGAAGCCTGGGGTGTGCCCGATGTCACGTAGCTCCCAGCCACTGAGGCCTCAGGGAGCATGTGCAGGGCTGGGTCTCGCAGGTTCTCCTGTGAGGGGGTGTTCTTGTCTCACCCTACAGTAAAGGAGACTGAGTCCCAGCAAAGTCAGGGGACTTGCCCAAAGGCACATTTCAGTAGATGGCGGAATCCAGGGGCAAACAGCCTACCAGTGGTCGGCAAACTCATTAGTCAGCAGAGCCAAATATCAACAGTACAACGATTGAAATTTCTTTTGAGAGCCAAATTTTTTAAACTTAAACTATATAGGTAGGTACATTGTTATTAACTTAATTAGGGTACTCCTAAGGCTTAGGAAGAGCCACACTCAAGGGGCCAAAGAGCCGCATGTGGCTCGTAGTCATAGTTTGCCGGCCCCTGGCCTAGGCTGATCTGACTTCAAATCTCTGAGCTAGAGTGCCCCCCAAAATGAGTACTCCCAACAAAGTGGGGGATGGAAGTGGGGGTGAGGCAGAAGGTGGGGGACAGTATCAGAGGGTTCCAGGCCTGAGAGCCGAGGTCCTGAGGTCAAGATGGCCCTCTGCCTTTGATGAGAGCAGGTCTAGGTCTTCTGGAGGGAGGACTCGGAGGAACAGGAGTCAGGGTGCCCCTGGGAGGGCCAGGAGAGCCTGGGGCGAGGCACCATCTCTCTGGAGAAAATGGAGTTTGCCCTCGAAGGCCAGTGCCTGCGGATGAACCCTTGCTAGTGTGTGCGCTCCCTCTGGGGGGCCCTCCCACCTTCCAGTCCAGCTCAGCTCCTGCTCCAGTGCTGGCTTCCCTCGGAGCTGCTGCTGGAGCCCGTAGCCTGACTCTGCCTCACACAGGCCTGTGAGCTTGGCCAGGTTCCTGAAGCACTCTGCAAGGCCTCGGAGAATTAAATGAGCTACCAGAACAAGGCCCGGCCGAGTGGGCATGACGTCAGCGCTGTCTCCCAGCGTCCTGTGCGCCAGGAGATGGACATCTCACAACCACCCCACGAGCGGGCTCTCGCCTCACGTTAGCAGCGCTCGGCTGGGGAGGCTGCAGAGCTGGCTTCGACTCCCGTCACCGAATCTGAGCCCTCCATCCTCCCCCTCCCCCTGCATCTCTGTTCCAACTGCACCGAAGCCCCCCAAGGGCAGGTGATAGCCCTCCAAGGGCAGGTGATAGCCCTCTTGGCTGCCTCTCTTCACGGTCGTCTGGCCACTGCTGGGCACACAGTAGGTGCTTCTTAGACATCCACACACTGGCTTCAGTTGAACAAGGCCATTGTGAAGATGGAGTGAGCGGGGGTGGGGGATTCCTTTGAATTCTCCACAGGGAAGGCTTTGTTCTCTGCCCATCTCCCACCCAGACAGAGAAGCAGGCTTCGTCTCTCTCTGGCCTCCTTTAGGGAGATTTTTAGGGAAGGGAAGGGGAGGAGAGGGGAGGGGAGGGGAGGGGACAGATCAGTGGGAGTCTGGCTTCTAAGGGAGCTTGACAGACAGAAGAGGCACCGGCTCCCAGTTAGCAGAAAGGTTGGGTGACTTCTTTCTTGGTCGTGGATCCCTGCTCCCTTGTCATCGACCGAGGAACTGAGCGCTGGGAAGCAGGGTGCTGTTCACGCTGAAAGGCGTCAGGCAGAAAGGAATGGCCTCTGGCGGCCGCGGAGGGTCCTTGCACTGCGGGGTGTCACTGGGAGGCCTGAAGACAGCACAGGCCTCTTCGGGAGGGACCGTCGTCTGGGGCCCCAGCGTGACCCGGTCCGACTTGTACGTCCAGCTGTCTGCCGGCCGCTCTGCGGACTCGGCCTTCCCAAACCGAACGCATCTGGCCACAGTCTCCCCGAAGCCCTCCCTCCCCTGGCCAGCCTGTGCCGCCACCACGGGGGCCACAGCGCCTGGAGCCCCCTTGACGACTGTGGCCCCTCGCCATCCATGGCTGCAACCTATTCCAACCAGCGAAACATGCTGACATGTGTTCCCGTCCTTCCCGTCCACCCCACTGCCATCTCCCCTGAGTAGGTTTTGCAACGGCCCCTAACAGCCTTCCCGCCTCCTTCCGTCCACTCAGTAACCTGAGTGCTCCTCCAACATGGTCACCTGACCACATCGCGGCCGCTTCAAACCTGGTTGTAAGTCCCACCCACCACCCACCACCGCAGCCTGGTTCACTGGCGCTGGGGACCGGAGGAGATTCGGAAAGACACCCACCCCAGCCGAGACCCTACAGGGCTGGACCTATGGGGCGAAGTCCCAGCTCCTCCAACTGTGCCCTGCTGCAGCGACTTGCAATCTGTGGGCGCACATGTCACCCCCATGAGGCCCCTAGGGTCTGGCCCCAGCCCTTCCCTCTGCCCACCCGCTTTGAGCCCACTGGGCCATCGGAGGCTCTCTGACCCTGCTTGCTGGCTCAGCCTCGTGGCTTCATTCACGCAGGTGCTGCCTCTGGGTGCGGGCGGTGTCTCAGTGTCGTCTCCCCAGAGCCAGAGCAGCTCCTGGCTCCTGGGAGCCACGCCCTGACCCCTGGTACAGGAGGGCAGACCCCAGATGGGCGCTGGAGGCCCTGGGGACTTGGGGTGTGAAGAGAGAGAAAAGAATAAGGCTTAGAACTCCAGCCCAGGGGTTGGGAGGTTCCTGGCCTGACCGCTAGGGGGCGCTGGTCCCCCTCATGGGACCTGAGGGCGGGCGAGGCCGGTACATGGGTGGGGAGTGCACAAAACCTCAGGATAAACAGGGCGTCTCTTCAGGGCCACTTCGCAGGAAGATCTGAGAACAAAACGTTGCTTTAATATTAAAACAGTTATAATTAGAGAGTGGAAATGTGGAATCGTGGCTAATTTAAAGACAACACAGAAGACTTCAAAGACATGTGCTTGTGGCCTGATCTCGGGGTGACGCCCAGATCCCCAGGAGTCCATGCCTGCTCTTCAGCTGGGAGGGCTACGTTGGAGTAAAAGCTTGAGATGCACTCAGTTCTCAAACTTCCACACCCTCCTGGGACAGATGGGGAAACCGAGGCACGGGGCAGCATTGGAGCTGCGACTGCGCCCTCATCTCAACACTGAGGCTGCTTCCCAAGACGCTGAGCGCCGTGCCACCACCCGGCTTTCCTGCCTGAGGAGGATTTGGGGTCGTCCTGGGCTTCGCTCCCTGACTCGCACTTGCCACCTGCACAGCCTGCTGGCCCTCCACCTGAAGGTCCCTCCTGCGCCCCAAATCCAGCTCTTCCTTCTGTATCTTCCTGGGGGCCCGACCCCTCCCTCTCTCCTTCCCCCACAGCCATGCCCGGGGCCCAAGATCTGTGGTCACTTCTTCTTTTATATATATATATATATTTTATTGATTTTTTTACAGAGAGGAAGGGAGAGAGATAGAGAGTTAGAAACATCGATGAGAGAGAAACATCGATCAGCCGCCTCCTGCACATCTCCTACTGGGGATGTGCCCGCAACCCAGGTACATGCCCTTGACCGGAATCGAACCTGGGACCTTTCAGTCCGCAGGCCGACCCTCTATCCACTGAGCCAAACCGGTTTCGGCCTGTGGTCACTTCTTGATGGCGCTCTTTTGCCATAGCTCATTACCTGGTCCAACACCCAGAAGCCCTCCGACCAGTCACCTGGCCTGGGGGTGGGGGTGGTAAGTAGAAGTAATAAAACGTAACAGCAGCCTTCACGTCCACAGTACCCACTGCACTCCAGACCCTGTCGTGAGCACCCGCCTTGCATGGACCCATTAGTCCCTACATCTCTCCATGAGGTAGCTGCCTTTTATTCCCATTTTGCAGATGAGGAAACATCTGTAGACACCCCCCTGGGTGTCCTTCCTCCTCCCTCGTACTCACCTTCACCAGGCCCCGGCATCCCAGAGCCTGCTGTGACCTCGTCCCCCATCAGCTCAGAGGTCATCAGTCCCTGCTCGCTGCTGGGTGGTGTTCCGGCATTTCAGTTGGCATTGGAGGTTCTCTCCCAGCCCGCCCCCTTTCCTCTCTTCCACCCTGTGGCTCCCCAGTCCTACACTCCTTTCCCCCCAATATCTCCTGACCGGGATGCCTCCCTCCACCTCTCCACGCCCAGGTCCTTCCTGTCCCTCCACGTCTTCCCGCGGTGCCTCCTGCTCGGGGAATGGTCCTTCCTTCGAACAGCGCCTTCACGGTTCCGACTCCCCGGTCTTGGTGGCCCTCGTCACCTCTCTGAGGACATAGCTTCTTTCTCCAACTGGAGTAAAGATTCTAGAGGAGAGGAACTGGCACCCCATGCCACCCCACCTGGCAAACATCTGTGAAGGAATGTGTTGGCATTTCTTACCCAGGGGCCTGAGGCAGGAACCTGGCTCCTAATTCTGTCACTACCCAGACCAGCTCCGTGCCCTTTGGCAAAGCACTTGCTGTCTCTGTGCCTGAGTTTCCTTGTCTCCAAGCTTACACGTGAAGAGCAGTTCAGGAGGTTCTAAGTGGCTCTCAGCATCCTCCAGGCAGAAGAGACCCTCAGGAACAAGGACAGGGGAGGGGGGAGAGGGAAGGACAGCAGGTGGGGAGGTCGTCTTGCTTTGCTCAGTCGGAGGTTAGGGAAGGGCTGGGCCTAGACTTGCACAGAAAAAACACAAAAGAGCCGGCGAGGCTCAGGTTAGGTACCAAGGTGCGCAGGCGATGCCCCCGGAGGCTGCCAGGCCAGGTGCCCCAGCAGCCAGGGCCTCCGCCTCGCACCGCTGGCATCTCACACTCAGGACTTTGCCGTGGGGAGCTGTCCCGCGGGGTGCAGGGTGTTTGGCAGCCTCCTTTGTCTCTGCCTACTCCCCTAGTCGTGACAACCACGAATATTTCCAGACGTTGCCAGATCTCTCCAAGGGTGGGGTGGGCCCCCAGTTAAGACCATCGAGTTAACCCACCAAGAAATGTTTGTTTAGCACCTACTGTATGCCTAGCTAGGGCTGAGGTATCTTCTCTGATGACGGGTTGGGTTTGGAATGAAAGCTTACACGCGAAGAACGGTTAAGGAGGTTCTAAGTGCAGTGTGAGGGCGGGGGGTGGGGGAGCTCACAGGCCCCAGGGAGCCCTAAGGCTGGGTCTCCAGGGAGGCGCAGGGAGGGCTGTGGGGGGGCGGGTTCCCGCTGAGAGAACAGCCTGCTCGGCTCAGGGCAGGCATGGGCAGGGCCCCTTTGCAACATCGAGCTCCTCTGGCTGCATAGGGCGCAGGGTGTGTTGGGAAGTAGTGGGAAAGGAGGTTAAGTAAATATTATTCTTGGTGTGTTTGCTTATGGGACACTATGTCCAATCGGGGAGCCTGGTTGCGTAAGTCTAGATGCCAGGCTCTCTCAATCTAAATGCCTGGGGCCTCCTCCCGGGATGGCTGATCTTCTCAGCCTTTTCTGCTTCCAGGGTCTGGGCCACACCCTGGCTCTTCCTCCCCCACCCCCCCCTCAACCCCCCACTGCCACCAGGAAGCCCCAGGGTCCAGTCTGTCAGTTTGGAAGCCTCTTTCTTACCTGGTAACTGTTTTTTCCTGCAGGTGGTAAACCCCAAAAAGAAAATGAAGAAAAAGAAATATGTGAATTCTGGCACCGTGAGTAGCCAGGCCTCCCCTGTGCCGCTGGGGAGACACTGAGCCCGGAGCGGGGTCTGGTGGCGGGAGTCCCGGGTGTTTGTGTGCTCCTGCGGTGTGGGAACTAGACCTGGAGAGTGGGGGGTGGAGAGGGGTGGGGCCCCGGAGCCACCGCCCAGGGGGAAGGCGTGCTTAAGGCTGTAGCACAGCAGGCTCTGTGATTCAGACTGAGAAAGCCCAGAGAGAAACTCCCATGGGACTTCCTGCGGGCGGGAAGAGGAAAGGAGGCGCAGTGATTGGGCCCTGACTCCGGGAAATTCCCAATTGAGGTGCTTTTCGCAGGTTGTTTCCTTGGGAGGCAGTGTTATCATCCCCTGTCATGACGGAGGAAACCAAGGCTGCAGGCAGGGAAGTGACTCAGCGAAGGTCACGGGCTGGAGAGGGGGGTGGCGGTCAGCACCCAGGTTACATTCAGAGCCTGCGGCTGCTTCGGGCCGGGCGCTGCTTGCCTGCGACCATCCTGGGGTCACGCTGGCCCAGCGGCTTCTGGCCCGGCTGATCTTCATGCATTTATCAACAAATGGAAGTCCTGGCCCTACTGGCATTTATATTCTAGTGGGAGGAAACAGAAACAAGTAAATATACATACGTGTATATGCCTGTGGTGTCAGGTGGTTATGAGTGCTGTGGGGAAAAGCAAAGTGAAGGGATAGGGATGCCAGCGACAAAACTACTATCCTCCTTCCTTCCTATATAATAAAAGCCTAATATGCAAATCAACTGAACAGCAGAATGACCAGTTGCTATGAGGCGCACTGACCACCAGGGGGCAGACACTCAGTGCAGGAGCTGCCCCCAGCCCACAGGCCTCAAGCCAGCCAAAGTGGGTGCCAGCGGGGGCCCCCAATCACTCCACCAGTCACCCCGCAGAGGGAGGTGACTGCTGGCAGCAGGGGGCGGGGCTGGCAAGTGGGTGGTGCCAGACTGGCCAAGGCAGGTGCCAGAGGGGGGCCTCCCAACCGCCCCACAGGTCAGCCCTGATCGCTGGCCAGGCCTAGGGACCCCACCTATGCATGAATTTCATGCACTGAGCCTCTAGTTTAATATAAAGTAGTCAAGGAAAGCTTCTCTCAGGTGACATTTGAGCTGAGATTCAAAGAAGGTGAGGAAGCAAGTATTGAGGATATTGGGGAAAGAGAATTCTAGTAGGAATCAGCATGTGCAAAGGCCCTGGGGTAGAGCCCACAATGCATTTACAGAATAAGCCAGTATCTTTGCAGGGCAAACATGCCCAAGTTCTACCCTTCATGGCCCTTCCCACTCCAGAGGTCCATACATCAGCGAATGCAGCGAAACTTAGTTATTTGAGTCAGGCAGACTGCAACCCTATAAACCCAGAAGAGGCCCTAGTCAGGGGTTCTGGGGGACATCCGAGGACCCTCATTTTCTCCATCTGTAAAATGGGGCTGATAAGTCATTCGTACTCCGCTTATTGCTCAGCGTGGCAATGACAGACACAGGGGAGATGCAGGCCTAAAAAACGGCACAGTGGTTCGCTTATCCACAGGGGGCGACCCCCGGCTTCTCTGATTGTAACTTTCACAGACAGGCGTGGAGTAATACAGGGCGGGGCAAAAGTAGGTTTACAATTGTTCGTTTGGAAAACAATACAATAAGTAATAAATAAACAGTACAAGAATCAACTGTTTCTCACGCTCTCGACTGTAAACCTGCTTCTGCCCCACCCTGAATTTCCTTTGCCCAAAGCCGCAGGGTTTCTCAGTGGGGTGCTGTCGGTGTTTTAGGCGGGACCATTCTTCGTCTCACAGGACTTCCCTTACATTGTGGGGTGCACCCCAGGCCTCAGCCCATAGCTGCCGACGGAGCCCCAGTCATTGCGAGGCCCCCAGAATTCTCCCACATTCCCAGGTGCCTCTCTGGGAGGCAGCTGAGAAATATTGGGTGTACAGTGTTAAAAGGTTTGACAACCACTGACCTCGTCCAGCTTTCTTACTTAGAGATAAAGAAACTGAGGCTCAGAGAGGGGACGCGCTGTCTTAGGTCACACGGTGAGTGAGGGCAGCACAGGCTGGGCCCAGGTCTCCTGACTTCCCTTTGCTGCAGCATTTCCCAGTCTCCATCTTAAAAAGAACCACCCCGTCTGCTTCTAAAATGCAGATGCTCAGGCAAGTTCCCTGGGCTCCAGGCTGGGCCCAGCCGTCTGTGCTTAGTGCTTCTCAGACCTTACTTACCACGAGCAGAATCTCCCGGGATCTTGTTAAAATGCCAAGAAGCTGCATTTCTGCCATATAGATAGATAGATAGAATTGGTTTCAGGGAGGAATGGAGAGGGAGAGAGAGATAGAAACATCAATGATGAGAGAGAATCATTGATCAGTTGCCTCCTGCATGCCCTCTACTGGGGATCAAGCCTGTAACCCAGGCATATGTGCCCTTGACCGGAATCGAACCTGGGACCCTTCAGTCCACAGGCCGACACTCTATCCACTGAGTCAAACTAGCTAGGGCCATTTCTGCATTTTTTACTAGCAACTCGGTGATTCTGACCATGCTGGTCCAGGGACCACACTTTGAGTAGCAAGTCTCTGGGTGAATCCACGGGCAGGCAAGTTAGGGAATTACTTCATCCCTGGGCCCAGATGTTCAGCTCTGGCTGCAGGTTAGACTCTTGTGAGGAGCTAAGCAGCGGTTCTCAACCTGTGGGTCGCGCCCCCTTTGGCGGTCGAACGACCCTTTCACAGGGGTCGCCTAAGGCCATCCTGCATATCAGATATTTACATTACGATTCATAACAGTACCAACATTACAGGTATGAAGTAGCAACGAAAATAATTTTATGGTTGGGTCACAACATGAGGAACTGTATTTAAAGGGCCAGAAGGTTGAGAACCACTGAGCTAAAGTAAGATCCAGGGCCAGAGCCCTGCCCCAGAAACCCTGATGCCATTGGTGTGAGGGCCTCCCTGGGCTGCAAGATGTTTTAAAAGCTCCCCAAGGGGTCTCCTAATTGTCAGCATAGAGGCCACTGCCATAGTCCATTCCTCGTGAAAGGAGGCTTTGTCCAGGTGCCTCAGGCTGTAATCACCGTGGGTGGGGGTCTCCGAGGCCCAGGTCAGCACTCCCAGACCCTCTCATTTTGGGGGCGAATGGTCATCAGCTTTGTCAAGCAGA